AGTGGCATTCTAGCCGAGCGCCAGGCACTTAAGCAAGATAAGTGGCAGCTGGCACCATAAGCCGAACGCCAGGCACTTGCTAAAAAAATGAAAAGCCAAGTGGCAAGTGGCATTCTAGCCGAGCGCCAGGCACTTAAGCAAGATAAGTGGCAGCTGGCACCATAAGCCGAACGCCAGGCACTTACTAAAAAAATGAAAAGCCAAGTGGCAAGTGGCATTCTAGCCGAGCGCCAGGCACTTAAGCAAGATAAGTGGCAGCTGACACCATAAGCTGAACGCCAGGCACTTGCTAAAAAAAAAAAAAAAAATGAAAAGCCAAGTGACAAGTGGCATTCTAGCTGAGCGCTAGGCACTTAAGCAAGATAAGTGGCAGCTGGCACCATAAGCCGAACGCCAGGCACTTGCTAAAAAAATGAAAAGCCAAGTGGCAAGTGGCATTCTAGCCGAGCGCCAGGCACTTAAGCAAGATAAGTGGCAGCTGGCACCACAAGCCGAACGCCAGGCACTTGCCATAAACACGCACACGACAAAGTTAATATAAAAAAAAAAGAAGAAGAAAAGGTATATATATATTGAAAATGGGTTTGAACAGAGCGTAACACAAAGGAAAAAGAGAAAAAAGAGTTCTGTCATCTCATTCATGATAAGCATTGGAGTTACAAAAAATGAAGTATTCAAGTCACATTGTTACAAAAAAGTATGGAATTGAAGAGTCTGGAGGAGTCCTAGCTAGCTGCCCCAGTACCGACAGCCTCCTGGTTGTGCCGATCCGCCTCCTCGATCCCGTCAGCCATCTCACCCTCACGAGGTGGGGAATCAAGATGAATAACAGAGTCATTCTCCTGGGGGCCAACGTCAGCAGTGACTATGGGAGAGACCACAGTTGACGAATGAGGAGCGGTTAAAGGCTGAACGGTAGGAGGAGCTGTAGTGATCCTAAAGGAAGCAATATCCTGACATTCATCAAATATATGCTCCGCTTCGGTGGGTTCTGGGTCAACATAGACCCCCAGAGGATCAAGCCCTAAATCCTTATCGACCTCATCTGGAGTTGAGCTGGTCTGTCCCTCAGCCGGAACTCGGTCGGAGAAACCTTCTCGGAATCCCTGAGCATATCTAAGAGCTCCGACTCTTGAGAACCGAGCATGAAGAGCCAGCATCCCACCATTCACTCTGCTGATGGTATCAATCAGAGCAGTACGCTCGTCCAGAGCTCTCTTCTCAAAAGCCATCTGAGCAGACTGTTCATCAGCCAGAAGGCGCTGGAGCTCTGCCTTTTCGTCTCTGATTGAATCACGTTCAGTCTGCTAGACACTTTTCTCAAGCTGGAGGGCATCCTTCTCATCCTGAAGAGAGTCGTTTTCCTTCTTCAAGACATCTCTTTCTTGTTCGGTTTTTTCAAGCCGAGCCAATACCTCGGTATTCTTGCTGGCGAGAAGGTCGTTTTCCTTATTAGCCACCTCCAGGCTATCAGAGAACTTACGGGCACTGGCGTTCCCTATTTCCACCTGCTTCTGCATAGCCATCATTCCGAACAAAGTCTGTATAGATATACATTAATAATGGTTAAACCGATAGTCTAGTCGGACGAAGGCAAGACCAAATAATATGAGAGGATTCATGAGTTGGAAAATAAAAGTCACCTCCATGGCAGATTGGGGAAAGCGGCTGAACACATCCTTCTGGGATAGACCTTTCGCCGCCTTAAGGTCTTTCAGAGTCCACATGCTCCTATAATACGCCATGGCGGTCTGGCCATCCTTTAGCATGGTCTCGTTCGGCTTCACGAACGTCCCATCCGTTCGGGTGTACCGAGGAGCCCATGGCGGTAAAGTGGGAAGAGAAGGGGAGGCTGAAGCAAAAGCAGAGGCACCAGCTGCAACAGGCCCGGAGGGGGCAGGAGCTCTGACTGGGCGATGCAAGAGAGCACCCGGCCCAGAGACCCGGGTCCTTCTTATAAGAGGTTCCTCCTCAGGGTCGACTCCACCGTCAGGATGAGGCCTTTTGCCTCGTTCTTTGTCCCGAGCGCCCCCAGCGGCAGCAGGGGCAGTAGTGATTTGTGGAGACGCGCTCGGGTTGGTAGCAGGGGTGCTGACAACAGAATCAATAGCCACCGTGCTCGGGATGGTGTCAGAGATGGTGGCTGAGGAAGAGGCTGATGCAGGAGAGGAGATTGCCCCAGCAGCAAAAGTGGCTGGGGGAGTATTTTTCTTCCTGCCAAAGGATGGAATCTGAAGCCTGCTCATGGTATAGCCGAGGGATGAGAGCGCTAGAAGGTTGTCTGAAGTGAGGAGGTCTGAGCAAGAAGGAGTATCGTTCAGAACGTATTTCTTCAAGTAATTACTCCTATCCCTGCAAACACTGTAGCTCAAGTCATCACAAGGTATGCCTAAGGAGCGACATAAGAAAGTACAAAAGCGAGAAACACATGTTTCGCAGGGACAATCGTTTTTATGAGATTTGAATTTCTTATATGAGGAAACAGAACAGACGCCAAAGGCGCTCGGGATTGGGTAATCCTCTGCAGCCGGCGAAGACCAGGCCCCACTAATGCCCACGATGTTATCCCTCCAACCCTTTTCAGATTTGATTGTGTCCGTACATATGGACATCTTGTCGATCAGGTAGAGGTGGTAGAAGGGCTCGTTAGTTCGGATCTTACTGACCTTATAACACAGAAGAAGATCTATGAGGTCAAGGTCCAGACTTCTGTCACGAATCAACAGTAGCATAACGGATATGATTCTAAAGAAATTGGGGTTTACCTGCAGGGGGGATATCCCCAGTCTATTGAAGACATAATTAAAGAAGGGGTGCAGAGGGAACCTAACGACATTCAGTTGAAGGTTTGAAAATAAAACTTCGCCGGGAAGGAGGCCGGCACCGGTCATAATATTAACATCCTTAGGGCAAACCCTAACTTGGATGTTGTCAGGAAGTCTAAGTCTCATACGAAGAACATCTAGATCTACAACCATGGTGGAAGTGTTTGAAGGATCTAAAAGGGTAAAAAGAAGCCTGCCGAAAGTAAAAAAGAACAAAACTAACCTCTGAGGTAGAAAGCAACAAAGAGCACTGCAAGACCGCTGGAAGAATAACTCTTGAAGGATTTCACCGGAAGAAGTTTAGCACTGTTCTAAAAAGATGAACGAGAGATTTGACTGATGATGGAGACGGTAAAAAGGCATGAAGTGGTATTCTAGAGCCTTATAAAGGCGAGGGGGACCCGAGGGCCGAAGCGTCAAGAAGGCGAGAAATTCATCGAGCCCCGGAACATTGATTCTGGATCTGACCATCCGTTCCCCCATGTGGGTTTCTCGAGCCGTCAACGTCATGATGAGACGCCTTCAATAATTACCCCCTTATTAAACAAGGGGTAATTATGGGGGCAGTTGAGGAGGCCCGAAGTGGCATGGGCCGGATATGACTTGCAAATGCGACATCTGGTCCGTACAGATGGGTCAGGCCCATAGAAAGACACTGCCATATGGGCCGAACGCGAATTAGCCCATCAAAGATGACCAGAACTCATAGAGGAACGGGCCTAGATCCAGCAGTCCATCGACATTTGTAAATATCTATAAATAGGAGAAGTAATGAATAGAGTAGGGGGAGATATTTTTTGGGGGTTGAAATGCAAGAGTTCTAGAGAGAGAAAGAGAGGAGGAATTTCTTGCATCTTCAGTAATAAACAAACACTACCAAAACAGAGAGGCCACTTCAATTGAAACCCTAATAGCCGATACCCACACTAAGCCAACTCTATCGTTTCTCTCAAATCTCGGTTTCTCAAAGCACATTCTAGTGCTACAGAGTTCCGTCTTTCTTCTTTAAACTTTCTCCTCTGTCCTCTCAATACCCTCACAACGGTTGATTGAGTTTTTTCTCATCTCTATTATATCTCTCATATTTTCTAACTCTTTCCCTCTCATCTTTGCCGCGACTTTGAAGAAGACCAAAAAGTGCCACACATCCCAGGCCCGAACATAGACAACAATGTGGTTGAGAAATTAGGGGCTGACGGAGATCGACAACCACGGGGTAAGATATGTTACATCTTCAATGTATGTTTTTGTGTATATACTCAACCATGTATAAACAGATCAAGATTTTTTTTCCGTGTATATATATAAATATATATAGATATTTCTATATAAACGAGCTTAAGCTGAGTCGAGCCCGAGCTTGACCGAACAATGACAAGCCGAGCTTGAACATAGCCTAACCAAGCTCGCCCGGACACGAGCCGAGCCCAAACAACCCCAAGCTCAGTTTGGTTCATTTGCAGCCCTAACAATGAGTGCTACTTCAACCATTTCACAAATGTGTTAATTTCTAATTCTATCTTTTATTGTCTTCGTGCACATTAATCTCAATATTCACATTTTCCTTACCTTATATATATCTTGTTTCTTAACCACCCAAGATTTTGTCCCAAAAATTATGGCTGGTCTAATAGTTGTTTTAGGACCATTAAGCCAGTATGGATGAAATGGAGGAGTGTGCCTAGTGTGATCAGCATATCCCTCTAAAGATTGAAAGGGAAGTTAGATGAATGCAAGAAATCAAGTTACTTAAAAGTAGATTCTATTTCTATTAATTTTTATTTACTTAACTTCATTAGTTTCAAAAACCAAATGAAGGGTTGCATTTTCAACAAATTCAATTAATTAAACAACTACAAAGTGTATACTAATGGTTGGTTTAACATCACTGTAGGAGTTCAAAGCTTAACCTCACATATCTAACATATATTTTGATTCGTTCCGTGTACAATCTCGATAAGTTGAGAGATTAAATTGGTGAACCCAATTGCCCAACAGAGAGGTGAGGCAAAGTCTTTAGTTATCAGTTGTTAAAATCCTAGTCAATTATTTGAACCAGTTTCTCATAAAATCTTTATTAATACAAATAAAAAAAACAAAAAGAAACAATACTGTGCAGAATTACAGCACAAAGGATCTCCTAGATCCGGGTAACAAAGAGCATTATAGACATACCATGTTTGGTCCAAAATACGCCATGCGACTCGTAATGTTACTTAGTGGATGCGAGTAAGGAACCCCAGCAGCCTGTGCTTGCAACCTCGTCTGCAAATAGGGTAAATTGAATTTTTTCATCAGATACTTGGATTCTACAATCTGATTACATTACTAGAAGTGCAGGGAATTCACAAAAAATAATAAAATACTAAAAACTAAAATAAAAGTTCAAACAATGAATGTGATGTCCCGAGGTTTTAATAAGCTACTTTGTTATGTCTTCTAGATTAATTAAGTTTCATTATGTAGATTAAACTAGAAATCATTTTGTTCTTTAATTGAGTAAAGGAATTTAAGTTAGAAGAGTTAGTGCAGAAACATTTTTGCTAATAGATTGTCAAAATGTTTTGGTAGGCGTTTTTTTTTGTATATGGATTGATTATATTTGATGAAAATCTATTAATGTAAATAGATAATAATTTTATTTAAAGGAATTTCGGATGGAAGAAAAAAATAAAGATAAAAGTTGAATTTGAATTTGAATTTGAAGGAAAAAGATGAAAGTTTGTAATTGAATTTTAGAATATAAAATTTAAATGGCAAAATATTTTGAAGGTAGATGGATAATAGTTAATAAAGGTTGAAAATATAAGACATAGCAGCTTAAGAACATAAAGTAAGAATTTGTAAATAAGGAAATTAATGGGTAGTAAAGAAAAAATAAATAAATTAAAGGTACTAGAAGTCTCCTTAACACACGCACGAGAACCACAAGACACTTGTTTACACACACACACATATATATATTCCAAGACACTTGTTTACATATATATATATATTCATGCACAAGACACTTGTTTGCATATATATTAATGCACAACCACCACCAGACACGTGTGCACATATATAAATTGGTAGCAAGAGTAAAGCTTCCTTTGGAAGTTTTCTTATAAATGAATCTTACTGTACATATAAGATTGATGTGTTAAAATTAAGGGAGAAGAGAGTATAACAGAGAGAGGGAGAGAGGACTAAACTAGGAAGCTGGGTGAGTTCACCACCATACAGTACATAATCATATATTGTATGAGTGGTGAGAGAGAGAGTGTGTGACCTATAGAGCAAGGAGGAGGAAGATAGAAGTAGAGAATTTTCGCGGTGGAGAATCCCACCCATAAATGCATTCCTCAAAGATTTGGGTTAGAAAATATTGTTTTGAGGTAGGGAACTTCCAACTTTCACTCACTTTGGGTGTGTTTTCTCTTCCTTGTGAAAATGGAATTAACTTACAAAAATGTCTCTATTTTCTGATATCTTCATTTCATGTCTTCTAAATGAGGTTGAAAGCATGATTATTTGTGGGTCTGCACTTGAACATTTTCTATAGTGAATTTTGAAAGTATGAACATCTCCAGAAACTTGTTATAAACTATTATAGACCGACTCTCCATGCTTTAACACTTAATTTGTTCTTAAATTGTGAAATTGCTACTGTATCTTACAGTAGAATTTTAAACTGAAATTGTCATATGAAAAACTCTTGAGCCATTCCTGGGATTTTGTTAATTGCTACATTACAAAACCAAAAATGTCTAGTAATGAGGTCTGGGGCCATGCTGGTGTAAAGGTTGGCCGGTGGATTCCTCTCAGAGGACCTCAATTTGAATTGTTTGAATAACTGAGAGTTGGGGCCACGTCAGTGTAAAGGTTGGTTGGTGGATTCACCGTGCTGGACCACCATTTGCTTGGTTGAATAGTTGAGGGATGGGGCCACACCGGTGCAAAAGTTGGCCAGTGAATTTCTTTCGAAATTTCACCATGGATTGAAAGACACTATATTCATCTCATGGAAATGAAAATTTGGAAATCGGGCTGTGTTATTTTGAGAAACTAAATGAATCTTTATTTTATAAAATTATTGAAGTGGCATATATTTTACAAAAATGATCTTTGAAACTTGAATATTTCATTCTAAAACCTCATTGTGGTAATTGTTAGTTTTCTCTACTGGGCGTCGTCATCTCATTCTTTACTATTTCAGGTTATGATACCCAAGGTGGGGCAAATTTTGATGCTTAATGAAGAAGAACCCCTTTTTTTTCTTTTGATAAGTAAAAAAGTCATTAAAAGTGTTCAAAAGGGGAACGGGTCCCTCAAAAACAGCACAAGGCCACATAGGGCATCTAAACCCTCAACAAATCCAAAAACTCTACAAGCCCATCCAAGGATTTACAATTTCTTCATAGGACCCAACAAAAAAGAGTGCTAAAAATGGAGAATTTCAACGACCCAACATGATTTTCCTTTCCTTCAAAGGATCTCTTATTTCTTTCAAGCCTAGACACCACCAAATGCACAAAGGAGTAACCCTCCAAAAGTCACGAGTTTGGCCCCCCACTATGCATCCTCTCCAGGCCATAATCAACCCTCTGGTAGACCGTGGCATAACCCAATGAATCCCAAACAAACCCAAAAGCAAAAGCCAACAATCTCGGGCCACTGGACAGTGTAAAAGAAGATGATCAGCCGTTTCCTTGCCATTTTTGCACGTAAAACACCAATTCACCACGATGTCTTCTTATCTAAAGGTTGTCCTGATTCAAGGTCTTTCCCAATACGGATGTCCACGCAAAAAAAAAAAAAAAAAAACCTACTTTGAGAGGCGCTTTTGTTCTCCAAACGGCCCTCTTCAAGGAAAAGACAGTCCAAAAACATCCACAAAACAATGATAAAATGACCGAACATCAAAACGCCCAAGTGAAGATGGAGCCCAAACGCATATATCAAAAGTCTCCTTAACCATCCTCTTGGTGTTATAACATATCCAAAAAGTTCATAGCATCCTCCTCATCTCCCAAACCTGAAACAACCTCACAAAACGTACATCCCACACCGTTCTTCCACTATCAAGGCGATAGTGGTCGATCACCATGGCATGTCTATCAGAAGCAATCCTAAAGAGTCTAAGGAAAGCTCTAGCAAGGGAACGCTCCCCGCACCAGATGCCATCCCAAAAATGTATCCACCTGCCATCTCTGACACGAAATCTGATGTGCTTAGAGAATTCGTCCCACCCCTTCTAAATGTGTTTCCAAACCCCAACCCCATATGGCAATCTCACCTCAAGGGAGTGCCACCCTCCTCTCGCCCAGTGTTATTAAAAGTACAAAATGGAAACTAAAAGTACAAAAGGGAAAATTTGTCTTCTTGTGAGTTGTGAGTTGGGAGGCAACCCAATGGGTCCCAATAGTCAACAAAAAAAATCAATCAAGAGCAAAAGCTGCAGAAGAAAGAAAGACGTGAGGGAGTGGGAAAGAGAAAAGAGAGAGAGAGAAAGAAAGAGAAGAGAAGAGAAGAGAAGAGAAGAGAGAGAAGAAAGGGCTATCAGTTGCCTCCATCCGACGAAGATGAAGTCAGGAATCAACCTACCAGGTCAGTTCAGTTATTTTTTCCTCCATCTCCTCTTCTCTCTCTCTTCATTTGCTTATTCTCTATATCTCGGTCTTTTTTTTTTTTTTTTGCTGGGTCTCTCTTTTTCTTCATCTCTGACTCTCTGGTTTTGTTTTTTTCTAAGTCTATGTTTTTCTTCTTTCTTTTTCTAGGTCTCTGGTATATTTTTTCTCTGGGTCTCTTTTATTTTATTTTTCTTCTTTCTTTTTCTCCAGTCTCTGTTTTTTTTTCTTCTGGGTCTCAGCTTTTTTTTCCTTCTTTCTTTTTCTTCATCTACTCCTCTCCCGTCTGTCTCTCTATATTTTTTTCTCGTGAACATTTTTTTTTTCCCTTCATCTACTCCTCTCTCAGTCTTCTCTCTGGCCTTCATTTTTTTTTTCCTTTATCTACTCCTCTGTTTTTTCTTTCTTTTTTTTTTCTTTTTTTTTTTTCTTTTTTTTTTTTTTTTTCCCTCAATCTCTTACCTTTTCTTCCTTTTTCTTCCTCTAATCTCTATCTCTCATTTTTTTCTCCCTTCTTCTTTGAAGGCTGTCTGTCTCTTTTTTGTTGTTGTTGTTGTGTTCTGTTTTTTTTTTTTTTCTTTTGAATGCAATTTGTTGAATTTTGCTACATGTTGTTTGCTAGATTATTTAAATTTTGAATGCATCTTTCTGAATGTTGTTTGCTGAATAGTCTGAATGTTGTTTGCTGAATGTTTGTTAGCTGAATTTAACTTGGTCCATCACTCCATTGACTCCATTCTATTTCTCATTGTAAATAGATAGTCTATTTTACAGGTTGCTTTATTGGTTTAATTGTAATATATTTTGTGTTTTTATTATTGGATGTTCATTATTTAATTGTGTTATTTTTGCTGAGAATTATTGTTTTAAAATTTTACTTGTGCGCCTCACATCACTCAGGCCCGCACCTCGTCATGCGCCTCGCGCCTAGGCTCCAAGGGACCTTTAGCGCCTCGGTGCGCCTTGGGCTTTTTAATAACACTGCTCTCGCCTCCCCGTGTCTACTCACAATCTCCCTCCTCCAGAGTCTGTTTCTCTCTATCCCAAATCTCCAAACCCATTTTCCCAATAAAGCCTTATTAAAAGGCACTAATCTTCTGATTCTCAACCCACCTTGCTGAATTGGAGTGCAGACCCTCTCCCACTGTACCAAATGATACTTGAACTCGTCCCCTTTACCACCCCACAGAAAATTCATTTGCAACCTCTCGAACCTTTCAACCACTGAAGAGGGAATCTAGAAGACCAAAAGAAAGTACGTTGGAAGACTCGACAAAGTGCTCTTCAAAAGAGTGACCCTCCCCCTTTTGGATAGGTACTGTTTCTTCCACACAACAAGCCATTTCTCAAACCTCTCCACTACTAGATCCCAACTACCCACACTCCTGGCTGAAGCTCCAAGAGGTAGACCTAAATAAGAAATGGGTAACGAACCAGTGTTGCAACCCAAAACAAGAGCCAAAGTAGAGATATCTGGACCTCTCCAACCGTTACTAAGACACTTTTGCCCACATTAACTTTCAAACCAGAAACGACTTGAAACCAAATCAGAATGCATCTCAAATATCTCATCTAAGACACATCTGCATCACAAAAAACCAAGGTGTCATCCACAAACATCAAATGGGAAATCTCCAGTTGACTAGCAACATCCCTACCCTGAAAGCCTCTCAACAAACCCAAATCAACTACCCTTGACATCATACTGTTGAAAGCCTCCATCACAATAAGGAAAAGAAAAGGAGATAACGGGTCCCCTTGTTGTAACCTTCTCGAGCTACCAAAAAAGTCTGTCGGTGCTCCATTCACATGGATCGAGAATCGAGCACTATAGATACAAAATTCAATCCATTTCCTCCATCTCTCACCAAACCCCATCCTCTCCAAGAGGTAGATGAGAAAGCTCCAGCTAACATGATCATAAGCTTTCTCGATATCCAATTTGCATAGAACACCCAGAACCCCACAATTGAGTCTGGAATCTACACACTCGCCAGCAATAAGGACAGAATCGAGAATCTGACGGCCTCCAACAAAAGCATTTTGAGAATCCGAGATGACATTATCCAAGACACCCCTCAATCTCAATGCTAGAACCTTAGTAATCAATTTATAAATGCTCATATTAAAAACCCATGTTTTGTATATTAGGGAAAAGTGGAAAACATGTAATATTGCAATTATCTGTATAGTGTTTGACAAGCTTTGTTCAAATGTCTAGAACATGTTAGCTTTTATTTTCTGTGCTTGAATATGCTGAGAATCAACTTGTAGGAAATTAAATTAAACATGTTTATGCCTAAAAGCATGTTTTTTAGGGTGCCAACATGAGATTTGGTTTATTTTCGTGGATCATTAGAGGTTTTGAAGCTAAAATTCTTACAAAGGCGTGACAATGAAAACAAATGAAATGATCAAATTTGATATTTAATTCAACTCAACAAAACCTATGACAGTTACTTCGGTTAGCTACATGCACCTGTTTCACTACTCAACCCTATCTAAGGATACAACTTCAGTTTAACTACATGCAACCACATTCTTTTTAATAACTAAAAACAAGAATATATTAAACTGATGTCAAAGAGGTGCAACTGAACTACACATAAAGTATCTAGAAGCTCAACCAAAAGAAAAACAAAAAAGTAAACAACCTGACCTCCAATTTTCCTACGAAATCCAAAATAAGTGCCAAGGAGGGGTTCACTCTCCCAAACGCCCAGTTGTACAACAACCTCAAAATAATATTGCTTCAGCTTAAGAGTTGACATCTCCTCCCCGTCAGTGGGATGGAGATCGGCATGTCTTTCCTTAACATGGCCATCTCAACCCACATTAAATATCAAAATTGATGACTCAAGTATAATGATGTAGATGGTCTCCGATGAAAATCCAGTGACCAAATAATTGAAACTGAAACCAAACTCATAGTATGCAGAATATATTTAAAGAGTGCCAAAATAAGTTAAACCAGAACCAATTCAACCTTATTCTATAAAATGAATGAAGGAAACACAATAAAAAACGAAGACAAAAGAAATATATGACTATGCACTTCCACTAATCACAATGAATTTAAAATGGAGAAAAATAACATGAAGGGCTAGCCTAGCGCACAAGGCTATGCTATTGCAGGGTCTGGGAAGGGTCAAATGTGCGCAACCTTATCTTCGCCATGGAAATGTTGTTTCTGGTTTCGAATGCATGACCTCCAGTTGACAAGAAAAAGAACATATTTCTTGTAGAAATTTGAAAGCATATGTTACATATTAATAGCAGTACCACTTCTCCAATAATAAATAGCAAGCACTGTATCTACTAAAAAATAAATAAACACAACACCCATCAATCCCAGAGCGTGAAGAATACTAGGAAACTGGAATCCCCAATAAATACCTTGGCAACATCAAGAGGATTGACAAGGATAGCGGAGAGGAAGGCGGCACCAGCAGCGGAGATGGCTCGCTCCAGGAAACCCAATTTGTCATCAGATGTATTATTGGAACGGTGAGGTTCAGAATGCGAAGCTTCAATTCCTTCCGTGACCATCGATTCGGACATCAATGAGACGTTGGTGTCAACCTCAATTCTCGAGGATTGCTCTGTACTCACCCATGGATTTTGGGTATGATTCGTTTCCACTACCATCGCTTTCGGTCCTCTGATGGATCAAACTGAAATGGGTGGGCGGAAAATGCTTATAAATTAGGGTTTTTCGAAGCAGAAACATTCATATAAACTATATAATCTGACATTCCTAAACAGAATCAATCAATAAATAAAGAAAGCGGAGCTTTGATAGAAATAACATAAATTCGGAAACAAATTAACACAAAAGATAGAGAAACGTAAAATATCAAATACCTGCTTGATCCAACCCTTGAGAGTTGATGAACAGTTTCTGAAGTAGTAAATCAAAGCTTTCTTTCGACTTCCTTGTAGAACAAGAAAGGAAAGAGGAGATACACTCGCCGAAGGAGTGAAAAAATTGAAAAACAGTGACCTCTCGACTTAAGGCTTCGTTTGGAATTCCCTACTTTCATTTTTCACCGCCTTTTCGATGCAAAACATATAACACCGCATTTTTTGATGCAACGTGTCACACCACAAGGTTGTGAAAAGAAGTAGAAGACGAAGCAAAATTGGTTTACCAAAGGTGGTCTTGGTTAATTATGAATTAATTAACACAATTTGAATCCGACACAGTTTGTTCCCTGCTTAAACCAAACTCAAATTGACCCCAAGTTCCTTCAATGGGCTAAACAGGAACTGGCCCACCCTCGAATAGCTATTGAAAAGTGAACGGTTAAATTACCTTCTGTGTAAAAAAAACCTTCGTTTTGTAAATTGGCAATATTGACATTTAGTCAAATTTAAATATCTAAAAAGGAAAAAAAAAAATTAATATCTAAAATATCTTTAAGATAAAATAAAAAAAAATATCTAAGGGTTATTTTATCTTAAATATCTACAAATATTTTTAAGATAAAATTAAAATAAAAAACGCTGATTATAGTACTTTAGAATTTTAGTAAAAAAAATTGGTTACAGTTGACAGTAAATGAGCAATTTGCACATATTTTCAAATCTTAGGAATTTTTCTTTCCTGATATGTTAGAATTTTATAGGAGGCAATTTGTAAATATTTTCAAATGTTAGAGATGAATGTATTAAATTTTATATTATTGTTAAGAGTTTCACACACACAATTTGGCAAATATAACAAATAAAAGTACACACACAAGCAAAATGAGAATTATGTGGTTCGCCAAATTGCCTAATCCACAGGTGAATAATGACTAACTTTATTTCAAAACTTGATTACACATTTTTCTCTTCTCACAAATTCAACTCACTTTTCCTCTATACAATTATTTCTCTCTCTACACTAATCGCTCACACACATCTCTATTTATAGTTTTCACATCAATTCCTTGTTAGACAAAAGTTCACAATTTGTCTACCAAATAATTTCCATATCAATTTTTCTCAACAACTTCCCAAATTGGAAAAGAAAACTAATTCATGCACAAACGCAACCGGTTCTGCATCTTTAGCTCACGTACCGTTCTAACTCTTCTGCCCAATCTCAACCAGTTCTGTTTGTTCATAATATAATTCTCACTAGAATTTTAAGCCATTACTCTAACAATCTCTACCTTGGTTCAAAATTCTATCTTCAAGTGCTCTTCCACGGCTCCACCTTGACTGAAAAAAAAAAAAAAAAAAAAAAAACCCCTTCACCTTGAACCTAGCATTTTCTTCCTTTTTACATAGTATTTCCTAACAAAATATAGAGATTGTTGACCTTTCTTTCTAAAAGCATAATACATGGCCCCCTTCTAATCTTGATCAATCCATTCTTCACTTCACACCAACAACCCTTAGAATCCAATGCTCCCACAAAGATCACATTCCTTTTAACACTTGGAATATGGTGTATATTTGTTAGAGTTCATACAAAACTATTCATTGTCTTGATTTTGATTGTTCCAATTTTATTAACATTGCAAGAAGCATTATTACCCATAAATACCTTACCACCTATGGGTTTGTAGGTAGCATACTATTCTTTATGAGAACACACATGAAAGGAACAAGCAGAATCAAGTATCCATTCCTTAGTTTCTTTCTTATAATCAATTATTGATAATGCCTCATCATTATCACTTTCTTCTTTCATATTCTTAGACACAACAACAACAACAACGGATGCACTCTTATTTCTTTCTGGACAATACCACTGAATACGACACTTTTTTTCACACTTGTTGCATCTTTTCTCTGATAATGACACAAAGTTTCTTGAAGCTCCAAATCTTTTCTTCTCTTAAGCAATAAGAACTTGAGCTCCAGCATCACGACTCTCTTCATCATTCAATTTTTCATTAGAGAACAAATCGCTCTTAACTCATTCCACTGAGATAGTATCTCTCCCATAAAACAAAGTATTGAATAAATGTTTATGGGTAGAGCATACCGATGCTAATAAAATAATTGTTTTATCCTTATCACTTAACTTGACATTGTGAGATATAATTTTTGTAATTGGAAAATTTCGATGTCAAAACAAATCTGATCAAGTTGTAATTTCAAGTTACCATATCAAGATTAAGATCGACTACGGAATTGGTAGGTTGTTCGAAGATGATATACTGAGATCGTCGAAACAAGAAAGAACAACACTTTAGGAAGTTATTTCCCACTTAGGACACTATACCTAAATGGTATATTCTTCAAGTTACCAAAATAGAGTTTTCCAAGTTGGTTTCAAATCCTTCTTTAGGATTTTGTCAAGTAGGAACCGGTACCAAGCTTGGGAATCGATTCAAGAACCATAGTTTGGAAGAAACTATTCTGTCCTTTGGGAACCGGTTCCAAAGGTTGGCTACCGGTACCACTGCTGATACAGTTTAAGGTAACTTGTTTCCTGTTTTGTTTCAAACTTCCTAGTTGGTTTAGAATACTACCAAAAGTCCTATGCCTTTATTTTATGCATGATTAGGTCTTTGAATATTCTATATAAACCTTGATATTCATCTAGGTTTGTACGGCTTTTGTATTACAACTTCATAGTTCATAAAAGCCTTAGAGAGATATTTTTGCAGTAAATCAAAGTTGATTTCTCTGTCATTCTTTCTAGAACACACACATAAACACAAGAGTGAGTTTAAAGTGTTGTTCAAATCCTGATCGTGATCAAAGTCTTGCATCTACAACGATCAGATAAAAGCATATCTACTTCTACATCGAATTCAGATATTGAAGAACAAAAGTAAAAGCGATCACACTTTGAAAGAATCAAAGCATTCGAAGAGTGTTGTTTGATTTACCAGCAATTCTTCTACAAAGATTAAGAGTAAGCCTGAGGTTAAGTGCTGTTAGACGTGACATTGCAAAATCAGAAGATTGTCAGCGATTGGTGTTTGGTAGAATGATAGGGTGTAAGCCTGAGTCAAAATTCAGTGTACTTTGTTTTAAATATAGTGGATCGATTTACTTTGAACTACACAGTCCATGAGGTTTTTTCCACGCAAACAGTTGGTCTATCTTATCAATTGGGGTTTACTCGCTAAAAATCCTAGTGTCATTTCTAACTCTATTAATTTACTTTATTTTATCTTGCATGAGATTAATTGATTAATTGCTAAAATAAGTAAAGTTAGAAAGACATAGATCTGTTTTTAAAAATATAAAACTTTCTAAATCTTCCACTGTATAAAACTCACAGACATTAATATTAGATAAATCACAAATAATTTTGTTAAACTCACCAAGATTTTTTTGTAGGCTTACCCCTTCTTTTCTCCTGAAGGAATACAACTCTTGCTTTAAAACTAACCGGTTTGTGAGATTCTCTCCCATATACAGATTCTCTAACTTCTTCTACATATCTACTGTTGAATCTTCATTTATCACATCATACACAATATCATTCACCAACGTTAATCGAATCACACTTCTTACCTTTAAGTTAATCTTCCCCCAATCTGCATTTTCCATCTTTTTCGGTTTCTTACCCAAAGCCTCTCATAAACCATGTTGAATCAATAAATGCTATATCCGAACTTGCCAACGACTGAAGTTCCTTCTTATATTAAACTTCTCGACCATGTACTTTCTATTTGTAATAGTTGTCAGCATGGCTCTGATACCAGTTATTAGGATTGCACACATACAATTGACAAAAATAATAGATAAAAGCATATACATATGTTGCAAGATAAATAAAAGTTACCAACAGGCCTGTGGCTTAATGGTATAAGGCTCCTACTACCCAAAGGAAGGTCAGGGGTTCGAACCTCAGTGAAGGCAGTGTGTATGAGTCCCAACTAGGAAAAAAAAAATAAAGATAAATAAAAGTTGAAGAGATAAATTAAAATATGAAAAACAAATAGATATAATGAGGTTTAGCCACTAGGGCTTACATTCACAACACACAAAGCCCAATGGGTTACATCTCTTTCATTACATTCTTTCTTGATTTTATTTACAATAACCAGTTTTATTTATAGGTGAATTGGGGAAGACTTGTAGCTATAATAAAGAAATTACACAAAAAGTCAAATACAAATATGAAAACAACTTGTTGCCCAAGTATAACAACTTAATTTTCAGTCAAGGAGTGATTTAAGGGCTTAAATCACTCATGTAATTATTTTCCAACCCCCCCCCCCCCCTCTCAAGTTGGTATATGGATATTTAAGTCAAGTGTTCAACTTGAAATTAAATATGAAGTTGTCGAGAGTCCGATACGAGTTGATCCAGGGATCTGAGACGAGTTGATCCAAAAATCCAAGACGAGTTAATCCGAACGTCCGAAACAAGTAAAGTATAGAGTAGGGTATTATAAACCTGCTCTGATACCATGTTGAAAGATAAATAAAAGTTGAAGAGAGAGATTAAAATATGAAGAACAAATAAATATAATGAGGTTCAGCCACTAGGAGTTACATCCACAACACGAAGTCCAAAAGGCTACATCTCTTTTATTACATTCTCTCTTGATTTTGTTTACAATAACTACCTCTATTTATAGGTGAATTGGGGAAGACTTGTACCTATAATAAAGGAATTACACAAAGTCAAATACAAATATGGCAACAACTTGTTACCCAAGTATAGCAACTTAAATTTCTGTCAAGGAGTGATTTAAGGGCTTAAATCACTCATATAACTGTTCTCCTACATGCAATAAGCAAAATGAGATTTACATAGGTTAGAAAATTGCCTAGTCCATGGGTGAAGAAGGACTAACTTTACTTCGAAACTTGATTACACACTCTTTCTCTTCTCACAAACTCAACTCACTTTTCCTCTCTACAATTATTTCTCTCTCTACATTAATCTCTCCCACCTATCTCTATTTATAGAGTCTTCACACCAATTCCTTGTTGGACAAGAGTTCACAATTTGCTTATCAAGGATTTTCCATATCAATTATACTCAACAACTTCCTAGATTGGAATAGGAAACTAATTCAAGCACAAAAGCGGTTTTGTGGTTCCGTTAAGCAAAAACGGTTCCGCATATTTGGGTCACATATTGTTCCAACTATTACGTCGAAGTACAACCAGTTCTGCTTGTCTAGAATAGAATTCTTACTAGAATTTTAATCCACAACTC